AAAAACCCAGATTCAACCCTGGCCATTAAAAGCTGCTCACAGCAGACACAGAGTTGATGAAGTTTACAGGGTGCACCAACATGTGGACACCCGCTGCAGGGCCCGAGACGTGTACGGTGTTTAAAAACCTATGTTTGTAATTACATTTCTTTTTTTTTTACATCATAGATTTGACTGACCTGGATAGCAAATATAGCTGTTATGCTAACAATAATCACTGTAATCAAACATGAAATTCTGTAGAACCATGAATCGTCTGAAGGCTGGACTTGATGCTATTTGATGGTTAGTTTGTGAAGTTTAAATATTTCCTGCCAACACTTGCAGACCAAAGGATCAGAGCAGTAGAGAGAGAGTGACTTTTTGACTTTTTTTTTTTGCTGGTGTTTGAGCTCTTTGGTTGTCTTCCTGCATTAACTGCAATGCATGCTGGGATGTGGTTGTTCATCCTTGCATGCTTTGAATGTGCACGCTCTGTGACGTCCTTTAGCATGTGATGTGATGCTGCATGTTCACACTGTTCTTTGACTTTGAGTCCTGACCTGATGTTGGCTTTTTAAATGTGCTGTCGATGTTTTTCTGACTGTATAAATTACTGTAAGTTATGAGTACGGAGCAAATATTTGGTCAAACCTCAGTGATTACAGTCCATCTATTTCATGTCACAAATATATCATGCTTCAGTTGAGGAACAGCCTTTAGACTGAAATCAGATTGGACTGGTATATTTATGTACTTTAAATCTAATCTTTCCAATATAAAAATATATATACTTGACAATTATAGTCCAGAATCTTCTACAGAACATTCTCAGTGGTGTCCCATACTGAGAGAACACTAGATTTCCTCTGTTTCCGTTTGATTATAGTTTATAAAAAAAAAATTAAAGAATGGATTTTGATTGAAAATGTCCAAATTAACATCTTGTTGGGGTTTGAAGTTGACTTTGTCCCAGAAGACACACGTGTTCATTAGATACGACAACAACAACAACAACAACAACTGTGTTCATTAGATACAACAACAACAACAACAACAACCGTTCATTAGATACGACGACAACAACAACAAAGGTCATTGACATCATAATTATGTCACTTCCTTGGAAGCCCAGATTTCTTAATCTACCTCCGACCGTCTTTCCAGTGCGACTCGTCGTATGTTCTGGATCGTCACACAGTTCCTGTTGTAAAAGTTGACTTGAAACAATAAAACATCGACCATGTTTTTCATTTCTCCAAATGGAAGCCACCTTGTGCCAGAAACCTGCCGGCCGTTCGCAGACATCTCAGCTCGTCGGCCGCTGCTTCACTCAACTCCTGCCAAACGTGCCATTACACGTCGGTCTCCTCGTTAGATTCTCTTACAGGACGAGGGCAACATCTGCAGAGACCATCATGTCCTCAGACGTCCACACACCGCCTGTCCTTCACTCCAGTCCGTCCCATCGCTCCTGCCAAGTCACTTCTCTGCATCAGCTCTTTACTGCTGCTCCATCTGCTCCAGGATCAGGGCTACGGTCCTGATTCTCCATAAATAACAGCTCTGTTTTCTTTTAAACCTGTCACACTCAGTCAGACGTCAGCGACACTGCATCGACGTGGACCGTTACGGGCTAACGTGTTAGCCAGAGCTTCCTCTGTGCATGTGTGCGCACTGAGGGAAATCTGTCAGGACAAATCAGCTTTGACCATATGAAGTAAAACCGTGAACAAATATGGCTTCTTTTCCTAATTCCCTGAGAGTAACCTCATACCCCAGAGTGTTCGGGTCGAGCCGCCCGGCCTCCGCTCTCAAACTGAATTGGTTCAATCGTCTTCTGGCATAAGGAGCAGATGAGGCCATTGTCTTTGCCCAGAGGCCTTTAGGTCTCAAATGTGTAATTAAAATGTCCACAGTAATCCACAGCAAATGGAGAACCTCCTGGATCCCAGTCAACGTGTTTGGATTTCTGTTTGAGGAGCTCTGCCAAACAGACCCGCTGATGTTTAACTGCGGAAGCAGAGCTCCGCTCAGCGCGCTGATGTAGGGTTTTAGATTCAGAGTCTTAAATCCAGCAGATTTATGACATTATTGTTGCCATACTGTGGTGGAATACCACTGTGAACAGACGCTTCCGGGATGCTTTTACTCACAGTCTCCACTAGAGGGCAGCCACGGATCAGATGGGAATTAAATCTCAAGACGTGATTTAACTTCAGCTGGAGGTCGATGGCTGTGGAAAAGATGGACAACACCAGCCCCCGGAGGCCATCATCAAACCATGGAGGAGAAGAAGGATGAAGACGAAGATAAAGAAGCAGGAGAAGAAGGATGAAGATGCAGACAGGTGAGGAGAAGATGAAGAAGACAATGACAACAGGATACTTCACAGTAATGATCATAGAGTTTGACCTCTGTCTGTTTTCACACACACCACAGAGACCACAGAGTCGTTGAAATCCTCGACCCTGAGGAGCTGACGTTGATCTCTCTGAACCCCGGTGCACTCAGAGGACAAACAGGGACAAAGGCGTCTTCAAACCCCGACTCTAATCTAGCCTCTTATTTCCTCGCTGCTGTAATCAGGCCTGCGCTGCCTCTGACAGATCACTCAGCCTGTAATGCACCGTCGGCTCCAGTCGCCAGAAACTTGTCAGATCCTCTGAGGCCTCTGTTTAGAGTTGGTGTCAACCACAGGCCCCTGAGAATCGCTGTGGAAGTTTAAAGTACCGTTGTGTATAAAAGTGCAGGCACATTGATGTCCATGTCTCTGTCAGGATCCATCGGTCTCACCGAGGAGGCGGTTTGGCCGAGGGGACACTCGTTATATTGAGAACGGATGACAAAGCAACCGCCGTGGCCTCCGTGATTATATCTGATTTTCTGAAGTGCCTCGGAGCTGAGTGTTTGATTGGACTTGTGTTGCAGGATTTGACCACTTTCATTACATGGGGGGAAAAAATTCACATGTTTGGCCAAAAAGATAGAAGTCAGATACTTTGAAAGGACGTTTCTTGACATGTGGACGGTTCATTCTTTAATTTCACGCGGGGTTTTCGAGTGCTTTGGTCAAACTGATTATCTCTGGGAGACACGCCAGTGTCTGCAGTCATTAAGGTTGCCCACTCAGGATGATTTCTTCCCTCCTTCCAGGCACATTGTGGTCTGTGGTCACATTACCCTCGAGAGCGTCTCCAACTTCCTCAAAGACTTCCTACACAAGGACAGGGATGATGTCAATGTAGAAATTGTTTTTCTTCATAAGTGAGTACAACTTTTTTCTCTCTCTCCTTCCTTTCCACACCACATGGACCTGACTGATGGAAACACAACTTGAAACAATGTACAGTAGTGCTGTCACTTCGTATCTGTAATTCAGACGTCTCCTTCACTGGTCGCTGGTTTGAAAACCACACAGTCGGAGAGTTTAAACCCAGATGGCCTCTCTGTTTGAATCAGTTCCACGACTAAACAAATATGACACCAAATATTTATTGTAATATTTTTGTAAATTTGAAGAGTTACAGAACCAGAAAATACATTTTTCTTTTTACCATTGTTAGATCTGTCGGGTCATAAAACCTCTGTGCCTGTGATCTAACACATCCATGATTTTTCATGTCAGATTTTCTCTGTGTTTATGGTTTTTACTGGTAATTGTGGTAGAAATACTGAGTGAACACTCACTGCAGCACCAACCTTCTTTTCTTCTTCTTTTTTTTTCCTGTCGTTGCCAGTATTTCCCCTAATCTTGAGCTGGAAGCCTTGTTCAAACGTCATTTTACCCAAGTGGAGTTTTACCAGGGGTCAGTTCTCAACCCCCACGACCTGGCCAGAGTGAAGGTAACGGAGCAGGACGGGAAAATGTCCAAGTCTACAGAATTATCTTTTAATTTGAAGAAAAGAAATATAACTTTAACCACCAGGGGGAGTCACTTTGAATGGAAATTGAATATTAACATTAGTAAATATAATTAAAGGACAGAAACGTTAAATGATGTTAAACTAGAAAATATATGTTCATGTGTGATATTTTGACTGTTGTATTATTTTTTTCTTCTTCCACAGATCGAGTCAGCAGACGCCTGTCTGATTCTAGCCAATAAATATTGTCCTGATCCTGATGCTGAAGATGCCTCCAACATCATGAGGTGATTATTCCTGAACTCAGTAATAATCTACAGATACAATGATCTGATTTTACTGCCTCACAGATATTTATTAATGAACTTTTTCTCTTCTTCTCTTTTTGTGTCTTTTCAGGGTGATTTCCATCAAGAACTACCATCCCAAGATCAGAATCATCACACAGATGCTTCAGTATCACAATAAGGTCAGAGACATTTGTCCCACCAACTGAATCAGAATCAACTTTCATACTTTCATATTTCAACTTGAAAACCCAGCTCCTAATGCCCAGCTACAGCTAAAGCAGAGGTTCTCAACCAGGGGTCCTCGGACCCTTGAGTCGCCCTGGGCCATAGTCAATGGCATCTTAAAGTACAGATTTTTATTCTGTGTTGATATAACAATGGGTCTCGGTGCCTATAAAGGTCAAGAACCCCTGGATTAGGAACCAAAAGGTTTCATATCTTTTTTTCATATTAGCAGATTCTGCTGAGTCACAGCATATTCTGCTGAGTCACAGCAGATTCTGCTGAGTCATAGCAGATTCTGCTGAGTCACAGCAGATTCTGCTGAGTCACAGCAGATTCTGCTGAGTCATAGCAGATTCTGCTGAGTCACAGCAGATTCTGCTGAGTCACAGCTGATTCTGCTGAGTCACAGCTGATTCTGCTGAGTCACAGCAGCAGTCAGAATTGTCGACTTCTTGTGGTGTGTCTGGTTCCAGGCCCATCTGCTGAACATTCCAAGCTGGAACTGGAGGGAGGGTGATGACGCCATCTGCCTGGCCGAGCTGAAGGCGGGCTTCATCGCCCAGAGCTGTCTGGCCCAGGGTCTGTCCACCATGCTGGCCAACCTCTTCTCCATGAGGTCCTTCATCGAGGTACAACCAAGGACTGGAAAACCATCAAGATAATAATCATCTATAAATGACTGTAAATGCTGTAAAAGTACTGTGTGATATTTGGAAGTACTAGAAGATTTTAAGTACATTTTCAAAGAACTTTTAAAAAAACAAAAAACAATAATGAATTGTCTTGGTGCAGGGTTAATTAATTTTCAGAGTTAATGAATTCATGGTTTAATGTGGGTAAAACCACAGTTACTGACCTGATGAACCTGGTCAAACATCATCATCAAACCCTGAACATTTCCTGGACGGACTTTTACATCTTAGTCCAGACAAACACGTCGGTTCTCACTCATCGTATTTCACTCTGACATCTCCTGTGGAATCTTTTCATCGATTCTGTTCTTCTCTGAGACTGAAGAGGTGCTAGATCCGCTCATAGAACTGTTCTCCCGTCACCGCGATGATGGATCAGGTAATGAGCACCAGGCTGAGGAGCAGCAGCGGGGAAACATCTGCAGACCACATTGGAAAAGATGGAAAAGATGGAAAAGATGGAAAAGAGCGCTGACGAATCTTTCATCTCATTTTTTCATATTTCATTTCCTCGTCTGTTTCCTGTTCTTTCCGTCAGATTGAGGAGGACACGTGGCAGAAGTATTACCTTGAAGGAGTGGCTAATGAGATGTACACAGAGTACTTGTCCAGTGCCTTTGTGGGCCTCTCCTTCCCCACCATCTGTGAGTAAGTATCGCTGTCAGGGGTAGGTGGCTACGCTAACACCAGAACTAACATCTGAGCAGTTAGCTGCTAATGTTGAGCAACATGATCAGAAACGTTGGCTCGAGGTCAGTAATAAGAAACATTTGGATTGGCCAAGAGATGATCAAAAGTTAATCATTTAAAATAATTGATTGCAAGCATAAACTGCTAACTAGCTAATTTGGTTACATTAGCAAAGAGGTAAACAAATATTAGCCAATAAACTAACCAAATTACTAACAAGCTAGCCATGAGATAGCAAAGAAATGTTCTACAAATAATGAAAAGAATAGAAACTCAGAAATACCAGCACCAGTGAAGAGATTAGTTCGTTTACTGCTAAGTTTCACCACAGGGTTAGACAGAAGTATCCTTGTTAGCTTAGCATAGTGAAATGTCGTCTTTTTGTCGGTTTTTGTCGTCTTTTGTCGTTTTTGTGGTTGTTAGCTTAGCATAGTGAAATGATACGTTTCATAAACTGCCTGGGAAAAAGTAGAAAACTAATCTGGATTAAAGGTAGACTCATATTATTACCATGGAAGGACTGTGTTGGACTGGTTCATGTGTTTTTGTCGTCTTTTGTCGTTTTTGTGAACTGTAACTCCTGAATGTCTGAACGGAGCTTTTCTGTCTTTTACAGATTGTGTTACGTGAAGTTGAAGCTTCTGCTCATCGCCATCGAGTACAAATCTGAGCAGAGAGAGAGCAGGTTGGTGTCCTGTTCAACAAAAAAAACCTCAAACTGTTTTATATTTGAATGGAAATCCTCTTCACGGAAGTCAAACGACTGATGTCTGTAGCTAATGTAGCGTCTTCCTGTCCTGAAGTCCAACCTGAGTTGGTTTGACTTCACTACTCAGTGACTAATTTGTCTCAATTATGCATTTAACGTCACACATTTCCTGAAGTCAGTTATGTCATTTCCTGTTTGACTCCTGACTAACTCTACATCACCGTCGGTCTGATCACTAATAACAACAGTATTATTCATTCACAGCGTTCTCAAATGCCAAAACCCTCCCCACTTTCAGTTTCCTCATTAGAAGCAAAGTTCCTTCAGTAAATTAAATTTAATCTGCACTCAATTCATTAAACATTTGAAATTTAGTCCAGGAAACAGAGTTTCACAAATTTTGCGGCTGAAAAGGAAGCTGTCCTTCATTCTAAATAACAGAATTATAATTGTGGTTGTGTAAGACGCTGACAGCAGTGACTGTCCTGGGTACGACACATGTGATATGATATGAATCTAACGTTACTGATGACACCAGGGTTTATTGAACAAATGAATGTGTTAAAAATCATCGACTACTAGCATGTAATGTGTTGACATCTCAGTGTTAAAAATCATCGACTACTAGCATGACTTCTTCCACCAGGTGTAAAAGTACTGTCGTTGTCACCTACTTATTTAATTTTATTTATGTGACACAAAGCCAATCATGTGAGAGTAGGGCAAAAAGAAAGAAAAAAAAAAAACCTATAAAAATCAAGATACATTTTTTCACAATCTCAGTCAATCAGTAGTTTGCATGTTATACTGTAAATGCCTGCAGGGGGCGCACACAAAGCCAATGACTGATCATTGATTTCCTGCAGTATGTGTCAGTACCTTAAACCACCACAGTAAGAAAAAGGCTGAACTGTCCCTTTAGGATTAGTTCCTGAGGCAGACTGACCAGAACCAGAACCAGAACCAGGACCAGACTGAGGCCTGGTTACAGATTAGTTTTCATTAGTTCGTCACTCGTTAGACACACACACACACACACAGACACACACACACCACAGTCAGCAGCACTTCTTCACCCTGTGTGTCCATGATAACTGTGTGATTTGAGATTTCTTCTTGTTGTTTGCAGAAGCAGAAAGCGGTATGCCTTCTACCTTATCTTACTTCCAAAGCTCCACCACTTAAAAGCCTCTGACTTTGGGAGTGTTACCCCCTCAACCCCCCCGTACACCCTGCCCCCCCAACCCCCCACACAAGGACATTTTTTCCTAAACACTATCTTCTAAGAGTTTCTTACATTGTTTTTTGTTTTTTTGTTTTTTTCTAACTCACTTCTTTGGTGTCCCTTGTGCTTCATGCACTAACTTCTTTGCAGGCAGAGAAAGAGAAACTAGAAAAAAAAAATTAAGCGTGTTTGTCTGTATAAAAATGCTGTTTGTTTTTTGTTTTGTTTTTTGTCAGTCTACCAAGGCCAAATACTCATCCTGTCATTTTCTACTTCTGGTTTAATCTGGTTTTCTTTCAGTTGGGTCGTTTGACAGTCTCTTGTGTTCGTCACTGTCACTTCTTTAATTCATTTCTCCTCGTCTTTAAATGTGCGATGGCTTTGCCAAGCTGACAGTTTCACTCATTGTGTGTCTTTTTTTTTTTTAAACCCTAACCACATCAGTATTACACGGTGCTGCAGACCCAGGAGCAGCCGCTCCAGGATCACACTCTACGCCTCGTTTCTGCAGAGATTTATTTTGGTCTCTCAAACAATCACTTAATGTTTTAACAAACAGACACAAAACTGTCAAAGAAATTAAAATACTACAAGTCTTGCAGGCAGTATTTGATGTCTGTATCGACGGGTTTCAAAGTCTAAATAAATACCCTTCTAAGTTAATGCTTCAGGTAGACTCTTCACTACAGGCAGAGTTATTGTCCTTATTCTAGGGAAGAAATAATTCTGAGAACAAAGTAGTAAATTCACTGAAAAAAGACAGCATTAATTAATAAAGTAGTAAATGAACCTTCCTGAGTCCACAGAACCACAGCCTCTCTGTCGTATGTCATATAGAAACTAGGGTTTAAAGATAAACTCAAACTTTGAATCCTTAAAAATTCATCTGACTCCAGTGATCCAAAAGTGCCCCCGCCCCTTATTTTCCACCCTTGCATTCCATCACACTCCTACGTGACCATTGCTTATTGTTCATCCATCTGTGCATGTATGTGAGGATAACATCTCTGTGGACGATGAGTGTGTGTGAGTGTGTGTGTTCCTGTGCATCTCTGCCGCCATGTACAGTCACGCTTGTGCGTCCTCAATCGAGTAGATGTGCCTAAGCGAGGTCACTTCCTGTCAGTTTGGTGTGTTGAGGAAACAATCCAACTGCACAGAAGTTACTGCAATCGTCTGCATCTACGTTGACTCCTGTCCCTGTGCTGCAGTGGCTCGGTGCATTTATTCCCCCCTTGACTCTTGTCTTCCTCCTCATGCCGTGCCGTTTCGGTAACTGCATGTCAAATATATGTACATACGAATATATATTTATATATGTTTCATAAATATATATAACTATATATTTATTCCAAAATATATAGCAAACACTAATCAGCGAATGTGTTTGATGCTTGTTTTGTTGCTCAAAATATGAGGTTTTCATGCCTTGTTTTGAATCTTCTATTCACCTCTTTGCACCTGAGCAGCTGAACAGAAACGTCTTTCACCTGTGAAATCTCACATTTGGGCAGCAACGTTTGTGGAAGTGTCTTGATTTGATCTCTTACTACTTCCATTGTCTTTTTCTTTTTTCTGTTGTTGTTTTTTTTTTTGTTGTTGTTGTCTCAACTCTAAAGAGCATGCTGGGCGTGATGCCTGTTTACTCACAGTGGGGGCTATTTAATCTGAGCCAACGTTACACTGTATATGATATTTCACTCCTCGCAGTCTGGAAAAAAGAAAAAAAATGACTGCTGCAATTTGATCTCATCCTGATGTGTACATGGATTCAATTGCTCCCTTAATACTTTTGTTTGTTTTCTCCAGTGTTACCCTCCCTTTTTGTTTCCAGAGCCCAGAGGAAATGATGGGATTTCTGCTCCAGAGTTCATGCAGATCCTTCATTTTGAAAAACGCTGAAAAGTTGACATTGAACACAGCGAGATTTAAAGCTGCTGTCGACAGGAGTGTTGCTGAGTTTGTGCAGAACACAGAACACTGATGATGTAATGATTGTGATCAGTTTGATCACAATCATTACATTACTTTTTTTTGCAAGTAGAAAGTTCCTGTTAGATTAAATTAAAACACAGCTGTATCTTGTCAGCCATAGATTAAATTTCATCTCCTTTTAAAATGTGAGAATTTGTCCTTTAATTTCCAACGTTAGCCTCATTTTAGGTCCAGAAAGTCGAACAGTTATGAAGTACTGGCTTTGCGCAGCTTTAAATCAGGCTGATGAATCGGTTCCTGGTACTACTGTGAATGAAGAGTTCCTCTGGGCTCCTGTTCTGAAGGAGTGTGATTTAAAACTCTGAGTTCAGTGGATTCTGTATTTTGATTTGATAACCTCTGAGCTCACACTCACATCATTGATGATCGTTGCCCACAGGTAACCATTAATGACCAGGGTGTGTGTGTGTGTGTGTGTGTGTGTGTGTGTGTGTGTCACATTCTAATTAATGAGGAATGATACGACTTGCCATTAAAAGTGCTTGGATTATAAACTTGGTTCTCAGTCATAACTGAACCAGTAATGTGACTCGTCTGGTGTGGTTTTACTCTCCTTGACTGAGTGAGACGTGACTCTGTGTGAACAGTTACTAAATCAGTCATTATTAACAGACCAAGTTCACCTTTTTGTGTGTCAGCGTGTACCATTCCTCCTGATTAGCGTTGTTGTGTTCACATGACCGCGTCTTTACACAGACGTTAATCAGTGCACACGTGTGTTTTATCTCTGTGATTACCCAGCATCCTCATCAACCCCGGGAACCACGTCAAGATGCAGGAGGGAACTCTGGGATTCTTTATCGCCAGTGACGCCAAAGAAGTGAAGAGGTAATCACAATCAGTTCAACTGTTTTATTTTTATTTTTTTATGTTCACTTTACACCAGTCTCCTATAAAACAAAGGTTCAGGTGCAGCAGGATATTTTGAATTAAAATGTTTTCTTACAAAAATCAAAACTAAAACATGACTCAATCTGTGTAATTCACTCTCTTATATTATAAAATAAATCCAGAGATGGCTGTGTGGAAATTAACAAATTTACTTAAAAAATGCTGAAGTTTATGAGGAAAAAAGTGTTTTTTTAAGACAGCATTACGTTGTATTCCTAGACAAGTCAAGGAACCTTTCGAAATAAAAC